AATTAAAAAATGCAAAAATGTCGTCAGTGTTTCCCAATGTAAGGCCTAATTTAAAAAAATGACTTAAAAGAACAAACACCTAAAGAGTTACAAACTTTCTATACAAAATGAACTGCAACGACTGCAACGTTTGTTATATCGGATTTTTTATAGTTTTAATTTTTAAAATAGTAGTATAAAAATTATTACTAGTTTTTGATCATTGCCATATGTCAATTATACAAAATCGAAATCTAGGAGAAACTATATTTTCTAAAAAATCTAAAATTTAATTGAAAAAGTAAAAAATAATTGAAATAGATATTTCCAAATACAAAATTAGCAAACCAGATGTTTTGGTGAAAATAAACTTCTCGTTCAGAAATTTCCTGAGTTAAGAAATAAATTCATACAGAAGCTTCATATAAAACTTGCAAATCCATAATTTAAAAAAAAAAAACTCATTTGCGATTAAAGGAGTACTTGCATGAATTTTCATCATCATACACATATTTTTATTCCAATATATTTTGATATAAAAATAAAATATTATTTAATGTTATATTTATAAATCTGTACTATAAATAGTACAGTGAACTGGCAAATTCCTTAATATTTTTAATATATATAATAAACACCTAAAAAATTTTAGACTCCATGTAAAAAATGAACTGCAACGACTGCAACGTTTGCTATATCGGATCATTTTTAGTTTTGATTTTTAAAATAGTAGTATGCAAAAATATTACTAGTTTTTTATCATTGGCATATGTAGATTATAAAAATAAGAAATTTAAGAAAAAGTATAATCTCTAAAAAATCTAAAATTTAATGGAAAAAGTCAAAAATAATAATAGATACAGTTATTTCCAAATACAAAACTAGCAAATCAGATTTTTTGGTGAAAATAAATTTCTCGTTCGAAAAGTTCCTGAGTTAAAAAATAAATTCATACAGAAGCTTTATATGAATTTGCCATTCCATAATTTTTTAAAAAACTCATTTGCAATTAAGGGAGTACTTGCATGTGTTTTCATCATCATACACATTTTTTATTCAAATATTATTTGATATAAAAATAAAATATTATTTATAAATCTGTACTATAAACAGTACAGTGGGCTGAAAAATTCCTTAATATTTCTAATATATATATAATAAATCTAATATTACTATTACTTACGGACATAATTATGTCCTTAAACCTTGTTAAAATTTTCTATCTTGCCAAGTTTCAGTTCGTGTAGATGTTATTGTAATTATTTCAAAGTAATTAGTGATCATCTCGTTTTTCCTGAATTTTCTTTACATGATGGCGGTCTGTTTGAATTTCCAATTAAACTATTCTAATAGACTTCATCGTAATGCAATTTTTGCGAAAATTTGGTACTGAAAATTTTGAAAAATCGTTTTTTGAAAACCTTGATGAACGGTTGTGACGTTGGTGGTCAATCTAGTGGGTGGATATTTAGATTTTGTTTGATAAAAAATGATAAAATAAATTTAATTTGATGGTGAAATTGTTTAGTAATATTATTGAATGATTTATAGAAAAGATTTTATAAATATTTCATAAATCGGATACAAAGTGTTCCAGAAAATTATAATAAATAGATGAAATAGAACAAATATAAAAATAATGCAGCATATGAAAAAATGGAATAATTTTTGAAACTGTTTCTTTGCTTTATGTATAAAATTACCAATACATTATACTAAAGGTATTATTATTAAATTTATAATTACATATTAATAATTAATTCATCAGTCGATTTTTTTAGATTTAAATAAATAATTTGGGTCCTCAAAATTTTATTTCTCAATTAATAAATTTATAAATAAGGTATTTACAAAAATTAAATATGTATTATTGATATCAAATTTATAATAATTTTACCGTCCTTGTAGTGAGTTTTACATTTTGTTTATTTACCAATAAACACAAAACATGTTTTTTAGATAAACCACGTTAAAAACAAGTTTATCATTTGATAATTGTATTATCAGAATCTTAAATTTTAATTCACAAAATTATTAACGACGCAGATGGAAATAGACACAGAAACATTAAATATTTACTTATTATTTTTTTTAACTTTTTAGACTATTTGAACCAAATAAAATTAAATGTAAATATTATCTAAATATGAAGCAAATCATGTTCCATATATTTTAATTTAGTAAATGTAAATCGTCGAATAGAAAATATTTTAAATAATGATCATAAGAAATGACCAAAAATTAAGAAATTCTTTGAAATAATTATAAAGCCAAAAATCATGCAAACTTTAATAAAGTTGTTCAAAATATGGGTAAATCAAAGAGATAAATTTATAAATAAGAAACAAAATATTTAAGAGTGATTTTTCAAATTAAATATATAATATTATTTCATAAATGTGACTGTTTTGAAAATCACTGGATCATTGTCTGTGTTTTTTTATTTTATAAATATTTGAGGGTTTTATAGATTGAAAAAAGCAAGTGGTATTTTGAAACATATTAAAATATAATAAAGAAAATAGCAGTTTATTTTCTTTTTGACCATGCCTGTATAAAAAACATTTTTTAACTAACATCTAGGGTAAAAACTTGAGAGAATAGAAATTAAAATTATTATTTTTAAAGAAACGGGGCGCTCTTATTTTGCAACAAAATAGTTGCATCATTTTTTCAAGAAATTGTTTAGAAATAAGACAATAACAAATAAATTCAAGCATAAGCATCATATGATTGAATATAACTTCAACGAAATAATTTGCATTTCTTTTTTCTTCATATAAATTGTAGTATATTTTTTAATTTTATTAGTAGAGTATATTATATTTAAGATTTTCTCTTGGTTGTTAAAAGTATAATAATATCATGTAAGTTAAAAAAAGAACTCATTTGGCTACAAATAAATTAGCTTTAAAAGAACCACAAAAATGTGTTGCTAATTGAAAAAAAAAATCCACAAAAAAACTAATTTCTCTACAAAATATTTTGCTTTAAAAGAAAACTAAAAATGGTCGTAAAATTATTATTTTGATATTATTTTCAAAACATGACTCAACATAAATATAAAAAATTACTTTATTAGAATGCCAGGGGAAAAAATGAAAAATACATTGAAATAACTTGCTACAAAATATTTTGCATTTAAATTTAAAAGAAAACTTGTGAAATTAAGTGGAAAATAACAGAAACAAAGCATTTTAGAACAGAGATTTATATATACACATATGTGCATTTATAAATATATATATATATATATATATATATATATATATAAATCAATTCTAAACTTTTTCCACGACATTCTTTGCATTAAAATCAATTTTAAAACATAAGTTTTATTTTATTTTTGTTTAGTATTGAAGCATGAATATATTCATAATATACATTATAAAGAAATTTATAAATTTTATATTGATTGGGTAAACTAATTTATTTACAAAAACACTCTTTACAGTAAAAGACCAGGTAAAAATATTTTAAAAGAAAAATAGGAATGTAAGAAGAAACTTTATTACAAAATTTACTTTAAAAAATAGTAAATTTACTAAAAACAAAGGTCATGTGATATAATATAACAATAAAATAGGACAAAAAATTCATAAAACTGAATATGTGTTAGTATAATTATGTTGGTTAAATTTAGTACAAAAACACTAATTTTGGTACAAAAATTTAGCTTTTGAAAAAACTTCATAAATGTGTTGTAAAATTGGATGAACTCTTTTTGTTGCAAAATAATTTGCTTTTAATTATTATTTTTTTTTTTGAATTCTCTTTATTAATTGCAATATGTCCTTACACAATAAAATAAGAAGATATTTAGTAATTTTGAGAATATTTTAGCATTTAGAATTATTTTTTTTTTAATTTTAAATTTCCAAAAGGTTACTTAGTAGTAATTCTTTCAGTTTTGACAAGTGACATTTAATTTTGCTAATATGAAGTGAAATTAGATTTAAATATGTGAAATTAAATAAAAAAATCTGTTCACATACACACACACACATACTTTTTCCAAATTTGGTCTCATTCGATTCAGAATGACTTGAAACGTCGAGAAAACATAAAATTAGCGAATCGGATTTTTTGATGAAAATAAACTTCTCCTTCGGGAAGTTAAAAACACTCATTTTGGTACAAAACAAACTACTTCAGAAAAATAACAATAATATGTATAATTAAATGAAAAAATAGTATTTTTTTACAAAATAATTTGCTTTGAGAGAAAAACGATTACGTGTGAAACTAAAAAGGACTTGCAATTAACTTCATAATAAACATTTTGGAACAAAAGATTTATTTATATGCACAAATCCTTAATCCTTAAAAAAAACTTAAAATTCCTTTGAAAATACGAACAAAACTTTATGAACAATTTGCAATAATAATAATAATATTGCTAAAAAATAATTTGCATTACAAAATTTGTGAAATTATGGCCACAAACTTTGTTGACATTTTGGAACAAAAGATTTACGTATTACCTAAAATCCATTTGAAAAAAACGAACAAAACTTTGAGAACAATTTTTAATATTAATAATTATATTGCTATAAAACAATTTGCATTATAAAATTAATAAAATTATGGCCACAAACTTTGTTGACATTTTGGAACAAAAGATTTGTGTACGCGCAGATAATGGATAATCACCTTCGTAAAAAATCCAAAAATACCTTCAATAAATATCTTGAAGCAAAATTATTTATTTCAATAACAATTTACCGATTTCCATTATCAATCTGTATCAATATTTTAGAAAGTACCCGGTGAAATTATTAACACCAACCATTATTGACGACGACGTCACATGGCCAGATGTTTTTATACAAAAATACCAAAAGACCCAACGATTGAAAAATGTATAATACACTTTATATATAATATGAAAATACATACCCCCACACACACAAAACATTGATATAAATACAAATATCAACATAAACACATCACAAACATAAATATTTATATTATTCCTATGACCATATATATTTTTTAACAAAAATGGCGATCGAACTTACTCTAAAGTAGGTTATATGATTTTTCCGTCCGGCAAAAGGAAACCGCACACGAACTTTGTTTTGTTTGGATTTATATTTAAATCGTCACTTTATTAATGCACTTGTTCGTTTTATATATACACACAGATTATTTAGCAAATATTTAACAGATATTTAATGCATATGCTGCTTTATATCTGACCACTCGTTTACACGACAGAAGCTAGACTGAATTGTGTTGACAGTTCGCACACGACGACGCCATTACGTCTTTTGCGTCGTAGAGATTAAAATTAATGTTTTTGTATTAAAAGTTTTATAAAATGGTTTTGTGAAGTGTTTTTGAGAAATTGTGGTTAATTTGTTATTGTTTTTTGTTGTTTTTGGAGGGTTTTGTAAGTTTTTCGGTTTGTTTTCATAAGTTTGTTTATATATAGATAGGAGTATCCTCTATGGCTTTGTGTTTGTAAATATGTAGCAGGGCAGTGATGTCCAACCTTTTTTTCTTTGGTAGCGGAGTGAAGTTTGGTGAAGTTTAATTTGAAATTTGAAATTTGAAATTAGAAATATAATTATAGATATTTTAAGTTTATTTAAAATATATTACTTGGATTAATCAGTTATTAGTGAAAACGTTTAATTTTTTATTATTATTTTTTTTTATTTATTTATACATTATTTTCATATCTCAGTCAGACAGAATTGCCAGGTATGAGAGATTATGAAAACAGTTTACATAATTTATATATACATTTCATTTGACTATTTCATTAATATATTATCTATTATATTTAAAATATCTTTATATAACTCTTCTTCAGTCTTCTTTGTCTTCAATTTCCTTATAATATTTCTTTACTTTTTCTTTTAAATTTATTGTCATCATTGGTCACCTGAACATCGTTTGGCAATTCATTATATATTTTGCTGGCGCTCCCTTTATTTCCTGAATAAACAGTTAAATATTTATATAAAAAGTTAAATTTTAAATATTATTAAGTCGATTATTTATACGTATCATGGTGAGTTTATAAAATTATATGTATCATGGAAATTTTGTAAAAATCTTGTAAAATAAGCACAAAAAATAAAATATATATGTAAAGACTAAAATACAAAAAATGCACTAGATCATTACGAATTATAATTTAATACATTTTTATGCATAAATATAAATTAATTATAATTACATATTCATATCAAATTAGAGGTTTATTATAATAGGTTAATATATGTTTAATAATAAATTTAATTCAAAATTTGAAATATAATTACAGATATGATAAGTTTATTTGAAAGATATTCATTTGATTAATCAGTTATTAGTAAAAACGTTTATTTTTGGGATAAACAGTTAAAATTTTATATAGAAAGCTAATCGATTTTTTACACCTTTAATGGGAAGTTTATGCAACTTGCCTTAAGGCAAAATTTTACTTATTAATGTAAACACCTTGTTTTCATAATAATTTTACTTATTAAATTAATATATATTACAGCATTGTTTTTAATAATACATAATTTTTACTATCCAACAATTGGCAATTCAATTTTATTATTTATTTCATTATTTTTCAAATTTTAAATGGACAACAAACTAGTGCAAATTGCTGGAACTTCCCGCACCGAATTAAAATTTAAAAAAACTGAACTATTTACTTTTTTAAAATTTAAAAAAATTAAATAAAGCTATTTTTTCCAAAATCAATTATTTTTTCTAAATCAGATGCTTATTTCCCTCAAAACCTGCAGTTTTTTGCACATTTAGCTCCGTGTCTCCAAAAACTAACCACCACTTCTTCCCATCATTACGAATTGAATGTGTTTTAGATCATTGAAATTGGATGCTCCGTTCTCTCAAAAACTCGATTTGTATTTTTTGCACTTTTTGCTCTGTATCTCCGTAACGCCTAAACCTGCCTTTGCCAAAAACCAATCAGTACATCTATCTATCAATAGAAATCGAATGTATTTTGAATTATTAAAATCGGTTAATCCGTGCGCTAGAAAACGTGGACGAAAAATGGTATTCATACATACATACATCAATTTTTTCTAAGGTATGCTAAAATGTTCAGAAACTCCTAAAACGTAAAGATTTACATATTTTTTTCATTTTCAATTTTTTGCGATTACTATAACTTACTCTAAGGGATAATTGAATACTAATTTGATGAGCCTGATTTTATTTGTCAATGTGTACCTATTGATAAAAAAATTATATAATGCAATGATATATTCTTATCGCATATAAACTTCTTTGACCAGGGGCGTACCGTGCCTTGACGGGACCCCGTATCAAAATTTCTTTGGGAGCCCCCTTAAAAAGAAAAAAATGAGTAATATAACAAATACATAAAATTGAAGGGATATTCATTCATCATTCTAATTATTTATCCATCTAATTTTCTTCAATTTTCTGAATTTTTCACAAATGATTGCAAACATTTCAGATATATCTCTCTCTCCGTGCTTTTTTTAGAAAAACTTAGTTATTAAGTGATCTTTAGATTTTCTAAAGTTTCTGTCTCAGTGCACACAAAGTTTTAAAATTTTAAATATTTTGCAGCAGAAATAAATTTTCTTAAAGCGTTTAATTTTTTGAAAAACCATTGTTTTGCTTCAAAATTGTTATCAATTTCTGCTTACGCTCGTTGGGGGCCCTCTTGGGTCGAGGGCCCCGTATTTTTGATACGGCGGTAGCTGCGCCCCTGTCTTTGATATTACATAATAATGTTTTTATTTTTCTACCTTCCCCTAGGATAAGTTATAATAATAGGCCGAAAATCAAAAATGATATTTTTTGCATATCTTTTCGTTTCAGGCTTTCTGAACATTTTGGCTCTAGATAAATAATTTTAAATTTGCAATTCATTTTATAAATAATTCTTATAAATATTAGACAATGTTACACTATTTATAATAATCTATTTGAAAGCGGGAACGGGAAGTTCCCGCAATTTGCCTTAAGGCACAGTATTTAGAATAATCTATTTGAAAACATTTGATATTTCTCGAACATTTCGTTACGGTACGGGAAGTTCCAGCAATTTGCCTCAAGGCACGATGCCATACACCCCACTAGTTCAATTAAAGTCCCAAACAATTCAGAATGACTAAATACATCGAGGAAACCATTGATAAGTGCTTTTGTTTACTACTACTAGTCCGTTACATGAGCGATTTGCGAGTTGAACTATCAAGTCCTCGGTAGTATAGTGGTCAGTATCCCCGCCTGTCACGCGGGAGACCGGGGTTCGATTCCCCGCCGGGGAGGATATTTTTTTGAACAAATTAAATGTTTTTTTTGTTATTTTTAACAATTTCGTTAATAACAAACTATATTAATCAATAAATATTGCACTATTGCACATGTTTACGAGTAATACAATATAAATATCGAGTGCCAGTAGATTTCTTTTGTTCCTCTTTTTCTGTTCTAGGAGGATATGTAATTTGGTACTTAGTAGAATTCTTTATTTCTCTTATAACAAGATTAATATCTAAAACTTAACATTATTTTTTAATTTTGATAGTTAGTATAATTTTTTTTCTCTTCTTAGCTTACTCGTTAATAGAATCTTTTTAATTTTTTTTCATGGCGAAGTTTATAGTATTTCTGTTAGTAGAGTTCCTTCGTTTTCTAGTGGTATTTTCTACTAAAAACGGTTTGTAAAAATTCTTAATTATTTTTTAAGAAATCGGTTTTTAAAGGACGATAATAACCTTACTGGGGAAAAATTTGTTTGGAGGCTCTATTTAATTATTATAATTAAATATATACTCTATTTTTTCCTTTTTATTGCAAACTGATTTAATAAATCAATCTTAACACCTGATGATATCACTTTAGATTTTCCAAATTTTCTGTCTCTTTAAAAAAAATAATTTTTGGAAATTCTGAGCATTTTTAATAAATTTCACTTATCCACATTGGTGACCCCGTAAAATTTATACTGTCCCTACGCCCTTGGTAAAATTTTTACGTACGCAGTTTGTTTATACTATATAATACTATATCTTATCTTCAGATTATTTTATATCTTATTATCTAAATATACACCTTCAGAAATATTCTCATTATCATTGAAAGATATGATTAAGTTTATAAACAACATGTGCACATAATATTAAAGAATTTAAATTAAAAATTTGTTAATTAAAACTGAGATAGTCTTATACGAATATTTTGCAAAATAATAATAAAAAAGATAAGTGAGTGAAAATATAATAAATAGATTTAATTGAATAAAAACCAGGCGTTCAACAATTTAAAAAAATCGTTATAGATTATAAAAACCTGATATACTTTGCAAAATTAAAAAATTATAAAAGTGGGTAAAAATGCAATAAATTAATTAATTGAATTGAATAAACCAAGTTTGTAAAAATATACACAAAATCGTTTTAATTATAAAATCCTGATATATTTATTGCAAAATAGTAAAAATAGATAAGTGAGTAGAAATACAATAAATTTATAAAATTAATTAAAAATAAACCAGGTGTTCAAAAATTATAAAAAATCGTTATAGATTATAAAAACCTGATATATTTTGCAAAATAATAAAAATAGATAAGTGAGTAAAAATACGATAAATTAATTAAACTTTTGAATGGAATAAACCAGGAATCAAAAATTATAAAAATGTCTTTATATTTTATAATAAAAATCTCGATTCTTATTGATTTTGTTAATTATTTCATTATCATGCAACTTGCCTTAAGGCAAAGTACCACTCACACCTAGTTTAACATTTTGAATTTGACTAGTGGTGCATGGCAACGTGCCTTAAGGCAAATTGCTGGAATTTCCCGTACCAAAAATTTAATTTTTAAAAATATTCAATTTTTTTTAGTACTGGAAAAATCGATTTTTAAGGTTTTCAAAATTCAAAGCAAATTGCTGGAACTTTCCGTAACAAAAATTTAATTTAAAAATATTTAATTTTTTTAGAACTCTAAAAAAATCAATTTTTGAGATTTTAATTTTTTTTGAAAATAATTAACCTTTTTGAAAAAATGGATTTCTTTTACTTTAAAATATTTTAGAACTTTTGAACTATTTTTTAAATATTCAATTTTGTTTAGAACTCTGAAAAAAATCGATTTTTGAGATTTTTAACATTCTTGAAAATAATTGACCTTTTTGAAAAATTAGTTTTTTTTTTTACTTTAAAATATTTTAGAAATTTTGAACTTTTTTTTTAAAGCAATCGCGATACGTTAGCTGTGTTCAAAAATTTAATTTAAAAATATTCAATTTTTTTTAGAACTCTGAAAAAAATCGATGTTTAGGATTTTTAAAATTTTTGAAAATAATTGAGCTTTTTGAAAAATTTAATTTTTTTTACTTTGAAATATTTTGGAACTTTTGAACTTTCTTTCAAAGCAATCACGATACGTTATCTGCGTAGAAACAAAATATTGAAGCGCGTGGGCGCGGCTTCGCAGTATAACGAATATTTATTTATTTATTTTACAAGCCGTCGGTATAATAATATTATAATAAGGCCCAAGTCAATATTTACAGATTTAATATAAATTAATTAACTACTAACTCTTTTATTACTTATTTATTTATTATTTAACTTATTTATTATAAACTTATTTATATTTAGTTAATTTTAATTATTTTTAAATATAACTAAGTAGTTTGTTTGTTACAAGTATTTTTCAAAAATTTAATAAACATTTTAATAAGCTTTACAATACTTTTCAATATAATTATTTTATTTAACAAATTGGTACGGAACCCATAGAAATATAAACAAAATTTATACACATTATTGAAATTTTTATAAAATATCTTATAATTTGATGTGCATATGTCTAATAATAATGTTTGACCGCCAATTATTATTGATTACGGTAATTATTAAGGCAAAGTACCACCTACACCTAGTTTAACAATTTAAATTCAATAAATAATTTGATTTTAAGCTAAATTTATTTACAGTATTTCAATACATTGTTAATCACAGACAATTCACAAGTACAGTATAAAATTAGTAGAAATAAAAAATATAAAAAATAATACACAATATTAATTAAAATATAACTAAATTCTCGTATCTTAAAACTTTTAAAATTAAAATGCATATAAATGGCAGCTTCAAAGTGGCAGTTTAAAATCACAAGAAATCAGCGTAAGGAAATTTGTTCTCTGCAAAAACAAAATACAAATTAGTAAAAAAAATTCTTATACTATAGGGTCCGCAACTTAATTATTTTTAACAGAAAAATGTTATGGCAAGGCTATGTTATAAAGAACTTTTCATACTAAATATTGGCAAAAGCCATGTGGTTGCTATGCAGTCAGGCGTAATTTCTCACATTGTCAGATAGACAACCTAACCTAGAAACCGCACAACGATGTTAGATAACAGGGTATTTCTGACTCAGCTTCATAACATACGAGTAACGTTGCAGTTTGTGCGTGAAACGCCTAAATGCACAGCAAATACGTGACATTTTGACAGTATTCAGTATTATGATTCAGTAGCTGGAATAAATAAATAAATTTTGTTCCAATTATTACTTTTTGGTAAACCCAAACATGCTCAATCTGCTTTGTCCCGAACTCGTCGTCGAATTTTTATTTTTCGATAAACCAGGTCTTTTGCACATCGTTTTTTTCGCATCAGGTTTCACAAATGTAACTTTTTCTGAAAAGGATTTTTTCAGAATTTGACTGACTGCTAAATTAGAGAGCGGTTGGGACAAAGTGGTAGTTGATGTATCTTCATCATCATCTGTAATCTGAAACAAAAACATTAATAAAAATATATAATATATTTCGAATTTCTTTGTTCCCAAGGGCTCAAATGCTTCCAAAGTGATAAAAAACAATTGTCTAAAAATTTAAGCTCTTAATATTAACATTTAGATAGTCCGCAATTCAATTGAAAGTTTCGTATATTCGTTATTAACATATATCATTAAGTATATTCTAGCGCCATCTGTGATAGAAATTAATTGATCAAAATTAAATTATTATTTGTTTCTTAATATAACAATGTTAGTAACAAGTTTTTGGATACAGAAAAATACATTGTTTGAAACCCTATTATTTTTTTGAGTTTGTGAATATGATATTAGTATAGTACTCGTTGAGACCTTTCATTTGATACCCCACATGCCATATTTGACGAGACTTGTAGTTTGGCAACCCATTGGTCCACGTTTTATTATATCTCTTGTAACTTTTGAACCGTACGTCTAAATTAAATGTAATATTCGGCAAATTTGTGCTAAATTTCATTGTATATGAAACTGTCTTATGTAGAAACCTTTCACCAAGCCGGTATACTTGCAAATTTGCAAAAAATGATATTAGGTATCGAATAAATGCTTGGTACGGAACTCTATTGCTTTAGTGTAGTTTTTATTACGATTTTTGTATAGTGCTCGTTGAGACCTTTCATTTGATTAACATGCCATATTTGACGTGATTTGTAGTTTGGCAACCCATTGGTCCACCTTTTATTATATCTCTTGTAACTTTTGAACCGTACGTCTAAAATAAATGTAATATTTAACAAATTTGTGCTAAATTTCATTGTATATAATACTGTATTGTGTAGAAACTTTTCACCAAGTCAGTATACATGCAAATTTGCAAAAAACGATATTAAATATCGAATAAATGCTTTGTACGGAACTCTATAGCTTTATTGTAGTTTGTATTATGATTTTTGTATAGTGCTCGTTGAAACCTTTCATTTGATACCCCACATGCCATATTTGATATGACAACATCTTGACCCTTGTAATTTGGCAACCCATTGGTCCACTTTTTATTATATATCTTGTAACTTTTGAATTGTACGTCTAAATCAAATATAATATTTGACAAATTTGTGCTAAATTTCATTGTATATAATACTGTCTTGTGTAGAAACCTTTCACCAAGTCGGTATACTTGCAAATTTGCAAAAAATTATATTAGGTATCGAATAAATGCTTTGTACGGAAACTTATTGCTTTATTGTAGTTTTATTATGATTTTTGTATAGTGCTCGTTGAGACCTTTCATTTGATACCCCACATGCCATATTTGACGTGATAACATATTGACCCTTATAATTCCGCAACCCATTGGTCCACTTTTATTGAACACTTAACGTGAAATAAATTAAATTCATGTGTTTAACAAAATATTTATTCAACATGGCATCAAAATTAATTTTGCATCAAAATATTTATTTAATCGGTCATGTTGACACCCAAATTATCAGAAATAAATTGCCATCAAAATTACAAGTCTGCTTTCACAGATGGCGCAAGAATTTTATTAATACGAAACTTTTAATTGAATTGCGTACTATCTAAACGTTAATATTAAGAGTTAAAATTTTTAGACAATATTTTTTTGTTACTTTGGAAGCGTTTAAGCTCTTGGGAGCAAAGAAATTCCAAAATGTCCATAAAATATTTATATATTTTTTTATTCTTACTAGTACAATATCAGACGTATCTTCTTCAGCAACGACAGGATTTTTATACTCAGTATCGACGACATTTGTTTTATCAATAAACGATTCATTCACAAGTCCTTTGAATATTTCGCGATTGCATTTGTCGCTTTTAAACGACGAGTGATATACTGGAAGACTGACGGATTGGGATTTTTTTATTCGAGTATATTTGTTGACTAAATGTGATTTTATCGCCTCCATGTCTAACTCTTCTGAAAATAAAATTAAAGTAAATAAATTGCAAACACAGTCATTAAAACATTTTCTGTGTTTTGCAGACACAGTACAGGGCTGACGACCCGGCGCCAACACGTTCCGGGTCGTCGTATCGCTCTGTCGATGCGTCAAAACGCAGTCGAGTTTATAAAATAATTATCAAGTCGGTGGTTGAAAGTATCAGATATTAGATTAAATAAAACGCGGTAATTGTAATTTGGGATTAAAAATTCAAAAAATTACCCAGGGTAAGCACAGTGTAAGCGCCACTCTGGTACAAATGTTCGCCCAAGTGCGTTTAGACTGTTCATGTATTGGAGCGATTTTCCAATTTTGTGGAAAAATGTAAAAATGCCGCCAAGCTAAGCACAATATAAGTGAAATTGTCGCACAGAATTGTTTGCAAATGCGTTTAGACTGTGACTATACGGGAGCACTTTTTCAATTTTGTGTAAAATTAGGCAATATTTTTTTTAAATTGATTTCGAAATGAAATGATGAACGATTGTTAATGTTCTGGAGATAAATTGATTTATGATTTACATTTGATTTGCTCAGATATGACAAGATAGCAAAAACAATGAAAGTTACAGTATTTGTAATAATATATTTGAAAACGTTGAAAATTTCTCGAATATTTCATCACTGTACGGGAAGTTCCAGCAATTTGCCTTAAGGCACAATGCCATACACCTCTAGTTAACATTTTTTTTTTTGATTGGAGATAAATTGGATTCGTGAAAGGCAAAAAATTATAAAAATATGGTCAAACTTTTTTACAACATGCATAATAATTATATAAATAAAATAAATAACTAGTGGGGTGGGTGGCATCGTGCCTTAAGGCAAATTGCTGGAACTTCCCGTGCCGTAACGAAACGTTCGAGGAATATTGAATGTTTTCAAATAGATTATTATAAATATTGTATTATTGTCTAATATTTATAATAATTATATAAACTGAATTGCAGAGTTGAAATTATTTGTTTAAAGTATATTAGAACTATAGTCAGAATTAAAAATAAAATCTGAATTACTTTCGATATACAAAAAATTAAAAAAAAAAAAAAAAAAATGGTACAAAATTTTTTTTTTCCAAAATCAATTATTTTGTTAAGACAAGCAGAAAGTTCTTTGAATCAATTGAATCGGACGCTTAGTCCTCTCAAAAAACTGCCATTTTTTGTACATTTAGCTCTGTATCTCCGAAATGGCTGGGCCTGCCTTTGCGCAAAACTAATAACCCTTTCTCCCAATCATTACTAATGGAATGTTTTTTAGATCATTCAAATCGGATGCTCCGTTCTCTCAAAAACTCGATTTCTATTTTCTGCACTCTTTGCTCCTTATCTCCGTAACTGCTGGACCTGTCTTTGCCAAAAACTAATCAGCTCTTCTCCTTATTAATAGGAATCGAATGTTTTTTAAACCATTCAAATCGGTTGATCCGTACGCCCGAAAACGTGGACGAAAATTTGTATCCATACATACATACACACACACACACACACACACACACATCCATTTTTTCTGAGGTATGCCAAAACGTTCAGAAACCTTCAAAACGTCGAGAAATGTAAAAATTTTCAATTCCGATTTTCGGCCCATTACAATAACTTACCCTACGGGAAGTTAATAATAATAATAATAATAAAATAAAATCAGAAATTTATAACAATTTTAATTGTTTCCGCACTCTACAGAGGCGCTACTAACTGCAGCACGTAAATTTACCCTTGAGATTAATTCTAGATGAGATTTTGTATAAATATATAATATAGAAAAGATAAACCTGATTAATTTTAATAATTAAAATGAGAACAAAATATACGCATATAAAATATATTTTTAACTAAATCACAAATATGTTTTAATAAAAGAATCAGTACTTTGAGGACAGTAGCGCCATCTGTAGAGTGCGCAAAACACTAAAACAAAATAAAGCACATTTGTTCTGTGTTAAAATAATGAATTTAAATTAAAAACTTACTATCAGATTCATCTAATTTACTCGTACTAGTATCTAAACTATTTCTGCTCGACGATCGTGTTGTTCTTGTATTTTCAAAAACTTCTGAAACAAAAAAAATACAAAAATCATAAAAATCATTTATTTATAATTTACATTTATATCTTACCATCGGATTGGTCTAAATCTGTACTTTTCTCCCTTTCTTCACTTATTTCGATGACTGATGTGGATTTTTTTGAATCGTCAAACACTTCTGCAAAATATCAAAAAATATATTACAACTTTAGGTTGGTCCTTAATATGGACTTTTTGGAATTTCTTTGCTCCCAAGGGCTCAAATGCTTCCAAATTAATACAAAAAAATTCTCTAAAAGTTTTAGCTCTTAATATTAACATTTAGATAGTCCGCAATTCAATTAAAAGTTTATTATTATTATATATTATTACCATCGTCTTCTTTCGAATCGCCCTTGAAAAATTTGCTAACGACACTACCCGTCGGCTCAGAAGTCGAATCGAATTTGCTCAGTCGTTTGCGTTTACCACTTTTCTGAGGGCTCGTGACAGTCTTGATCAGGGACGTATTTTTAGTTAACTTCATTTTAAAAACAGGAGACGTTATCTCGGGATTCTGTTCGAACAGTTTTTTGGGAGATTCTTCGCACGGTCATCGTCGTTGGTTTTGGCGAACGGGATTTCTGATTTTTTAGGGTTAGTATTGGTGATATTTTGATCTGAAAATATATTGATAAGGTAATAGAAATATATTTGGTTTATAGGTTTGTAGGGTTGTAAACGTACTGTTTGTCGGAGGTTCGATCAATTGTGATTCCTCGACTTCTATGTAAGGCACGTCGTCGGTTTTGGTTGGTTTTCGGTAAATTTTACTAAGATCTGCTACAGACACCCTGTAAATTAATCACAATTAACAATTTGAAATTTATAACAAAAATAAAATTCATTATTAATTTATCATTACCCTTCATCTTCATTTCAATTTTCTCCTTAGAAACTTTTTTTACCAATTTTAACGAATCGACGGATAAACTTTTCCCAAACGTCGACGGAAAATTAACTTTTTTCGCATCAACTGTTACAGGGGCTTTTTTAGGGATAAAACGTTTACTCCAGATGCTGTTACTTGTTTGAAAACTCTATTAAAAAAATATTAATATATAATTATTTGTTCGCGCCATATCAAAGGGTGCGATTTATATTGATATAAAACAAAATATCATCAATCCAAAATGATATAAAAAATCAAGTCAAACAATACGTTATCAAAAACAACATTGATTTAAAGTATTTCATAATTGGTCCATCAAAAAGCAATTCAATCAAACAACCATTGAAAAAACATTATTATTAACACACTGTAAGCGGGGCGGGTAAAAATACCCGTCTCGAGGACTGAAGGACATTTTTTACGTTTTTTTCAAATAGCTTTTAATTTACTTCTGGGACATTATAATTTGTTTACGTTAGTAAAAACTAGATAAAATTTACTAAAATTTAATAAAAGTTGTTGTATACACTTACATAAGAACATTTTGAATAAAACTTGTCGGTACATTTATTTTCTGGTAATATATTTAGCAATACGTGAATTTTAGACATTTTTAAAATATCTTTTTGAAATTCTTGGAAATTTTGCACCGGACCCTTTGTTTTTATATACATTAGTAAAAATTAGATAAAATTTACTAAATTTTAGTAAATACAGTTATATACACTTATACAGTGGCGTCGGCACCAAATTGATGGGTGGGCTCGTTTTTTTAGATAGACAGCCAGTGGCCTCGTTTTTTTTTTAGAGATATTAGCCCATATAATTTTTTGAAATTATATGGCTCAAGCCCACCCAGCCCACGCGGTTCCGACGCCACTGCACTTATATATAACATTTTTGAATAATTTGTACTCAAAATGCGAATTTTAGTATTTCGAGAATATGCTTTATATAAAATTAGAATTTTTTTTTGCTTTTCTTCAAGTAACTTTTAATTTTCTTCTCGGACTTCATAATTTGTTTACATTATTAGTACAAACTAGATAAAATTTACTAAAATCTCATAAAAACTGTTTTATATACTTGGATATTAAAATTTTGAATAATTTGTACTTGAAATGTAAACTTCAGTATTTCCATAATTTACATATGAATGTAGAAATTTTTTGTATTCTTAAAACAATTTTTAATTTTCTTCTTGGACTTTGATTCGTTTACATTAGTGAAAACTAGATAAAATTTACTAAAATCTAGTAAAAACTGTTATTATACACTAGGATATTAAAATTTAGAATAGTTTGCGATTGAAATACGGCGTTTAAAATTTCGATAATTAATATGTAATATATAATATTTTTTCTGATTTCGTATACTTAAATTCAAATTTATATTCAAATACTTAAAATTTTCTTCCTGGACATTATAACATGTTTACATTAGTAAAAACTAGACGAAATTTACTAAAATCTCATAAAAACAGTTATATACACTCGGATATTAAAATTTTGAATAATTCGTAGTTGAAACGCGGACTTTAGTATTACTATAATTTGCATTATATGGATTTCGAACATATTTTTACGTTTCTTCAAATAACTTTTAATTTCCTTCTCGGACTTTATAATTTGTTTACATTAGTAAAATGTAGATAAAATTTACTAAAATCTAGTAAAAACTATTATATACACTTGAATATTAAAATTTAGAATAATTTGCGATTGAAATACGGTGTTTAAAATTTCGATAATTAATATGTCGATATACGATATTTTTTTGCATTTCTTTCAAATACTTAAAATTTTCTTCCCGGACTTTATAATTTGTTTACATTAGTAAAAACTAGATAAAATTTACTAAAATCTAGTAAAAATTGTTATATACACTTGCATATAAAAATTTTGAATAATTTGTACTCAAAATGCGAATTTTAGTATTTCGAGAATATGCTTTATATGAAATTAGAACTTTTTTTTTCTTCATATGAAACTAGGACATTTTTTTAGCTTTTCTTCAAATAACTTTTAATTTTCTTCTCGAACATTATAATTTGTTTACATTAGTGCAAACTAGATAAAATTTACTAAAATCTAATAAAAACTGTTATATACACTTGGGTATATCAAAATTTTGAATAAAATGAGTTACAATAGCATTAAAGAGGCACTTTTATACTTCGATTGCGTTGTACGACTTTCAAGTTAATTTCGAAAATTAAACTTTTTATATATTTTTTTTATATAATTTAAATCAGCTTATTTCAAATTTCGATTAAAAATGTACAATATAGATTTAATATCAGTTTGACTAATTATAACCCAAAATTTTGAAAATTAATAAAAACAAACAAAACAAAAATAATTAGTTTTTATCTATAATTTTACATATCAATTTGTAGTCTGATAATATCAGTTAAATATTAAAAAAAAATAATAAATTGGTAACAAAATTAAAAGGGATGCAAAGAAATTTTTTTTTCAAGAAAGTTGGAAACCACTGTATTGGTGTGTGTTAATATAAATTATTAAAAATTAAGTTAGTTCATTTATATTTTTTTACCAGTGTCGAATCAGGATTCCAATGATCAACAGTTTTCATAGAAAAAGGATCCAAATTTCCCAAAGCCAGTTGAAACGCGATATCATCATCCAGTTTTTCACCGGCGTTAAAACAATACTTAATATCTGTACCTAAAGTTAAATTATAAATTAAGGTAACCAAAAATTTTCACAAATACAAAATTTGTTATACCTGCTTCTGTAGGATCAGTCAAAGGCATCATTTTCCTTTTCATCGGATTATATACAAACATGTGACGAAATGTTGCATCGGCCATCATAAAACCTTCTCTGTATTCTTCGGTAACGACTAGATTTTTCATATTTAAATAACCTGGTATTCGTAACAAAGCCTAGAAGATGAATATAAGTTTCTAATAGGGTTTGTCGGTTTTCAAAAACCGATTTTTCGGCGAAAATTATGGAATTCGAAAACCGGTTTTTTAGCGAAAAAAGTCGGTGTTCGCTGTATAAATGGAAAATGACAAATATAGCCAAATATAAAAGATAGATGAAAGCATTTTGATTCTTGAAATCATATCATTTCTATAGCATTTGATATCTTATCAGCCTGCAATGGTTCCCAGAAAATGTATATATTAATTTAGATTTTTATACCAGTGTATATGTTAATTTTAATCAGTGTGACTTCTTCTTGAAGAAGTAACTTCCTCTACTCAAACTTAAAAAAAAAGAGTTTTAAACCCCAGAAGCTACAAATTAAGGAACAAAAAACTTGGAATTATTAAATCAAGCTTTAAAAACAATGAAGCATAATTTGGTCGCTAGTATGAGAGTATTTTCTATTTCAGGAAATTTTGTGAGTAAACAAAGGACACGTCTAAGTAGCAATTCGATAGGCGTTCTCAGTTTTTTTAGATCATATTTTATTAAACAAAAAAACAATTAGAATGTTTAAAATTAATTAATTGAAATAGCTCGGAACAAACAATACCTGAGTTTAGCTTAATTGTTTTTAAAACTAAAATTGATATTAACAAGTATGTATCAACATGTATTTAATATTTCTTTACTTTTATTTTTTAATTTTATGAATTTTTATTATCTATTAATGTATTATTTTTATTTATTCGAAAACTTTCCTTTCACTATCATAAAAATATTTTCATTCTTATATGTGAAAATGATTATTTAATCAAGATAAACTATTATTTTTTAGTTCTACTAATTAAAATTAAAATAATTTTGTTTGCTATCTATAAAATTGAACAATAAATAAATTCAGTCAAATACTGCTCTAAATTTCACTAAATTCGCGGATAAATTACAGAATATTCGAGCAAAAATTTATTTTCCATAAAAAATTCGAAAACCGGTTGAAACCGGTTTTTTAGTAAAATTAAAATTCGAAAACCGTTGTCGGTTTTTGTATAAACCCTAGTTTCTATTAATATATTCTGAAATAAAGTATTTTAGTCCTTACCCTATAAATATCAGGATCCTCTGTCAACTTTATAAATTTGCAAGCCTTTGCAAGACCTATACCAGGAAGAGAATCTAAATAATCACAACCTGATAAAATACACATGTATCGGAATTTATCAAATGTATAGCGTTCTGGACGAATTTCCATTGCAAGATGGAACTTTGTACTATCCACTAATGTACCATTACCATTTAGATCCAATTTGAATAAAATCTATAAATAAAACATGACAAATATATATATATATATATATATATATATATATATATATATATACATGTATCTATTATCATTATCCTTACTTTGGTGCATCCAAACAATGTCAAATCAGAGTCTTCAGTAATGACAATATGTGCTATATTATTAACATTTAAAAATGCCAATTGGGCATCGGCTTCATAAGGTGCAACAATGCAGTCTATATTTCTTTTCCTGCATTCTTTCATTAAATTTAAGGCCATTTCGTGTGTTATATCGACGCATCTTCTGAGGAACGAACGAGCTTCGTAACCTTTTCCCAGTTTCAGTAATTCTTGGGCACGTTTTTTGGCATTTTTTCTCGCCCTAATAAATGATAATTGATAATAATTGATATTTAAATAATAATTAATAATTAAAAAATATTGTAAAAAATTAATATAAAATAAATCATTAAGTTTTAGCATATTAATATTTTTTGCGAAAAAATCTAACATTTTTTTTACAACATAATTTTTTTATGATAATCGTTTTCTACTCATCGAGACCTTTCAAACGATTCCCCACAAGCCACAAAAAATACAATCTAAAATTTTTGAAGTAAAACTTCTTTAGACACCTAAGGTAGAAACTTGTAAAAAATGTATATTTTGTGGACAAATCACATAGTTAATTTTAGTATTCGCTACAAAAGTTTTACAGCTAAATTATTTAAAAAAAAAAAACAATAAATTTTACCATTTTTGAAATTGAAATATGGTTTTGTATATAACGTTATTATTACAATATAATATTTTTTTGTAAAAATCGTTTTCTACTCGTCGAGACCTTTCAAACGATACCCCACAAGCCACAAAAGTTACAATCTAAAATTTTTGAAGTAAAACTTCTTTAGACACCTCAGCCAAAATTCGTAAAAAGTGGTTGATTTTAGTATTTGCAACAAAAGTATTACAACTGAATTGTCAAAAAAATTCAAAAAAATTTTAAGCTTCTAATTCTATTTATTTAACATTCTGGGTGTCCCAGAACTCAACGTCAAGCCGAAAAGGGTGCAAAGGTTTTTATTTTCTTACACAAAATGTTTATTATAAAATTATCAAGTATTTCACCATTTTATATCTTTTTTTGAAAGAGAGTCTCTCAAAATAAAGAAATTTTCGAGTTTAACAAAAAATCTTAATGCTTGATGCAATTGTCATTATTTTTGACTGTGGTCCTTGATATGTTAGTAGCATCTCAAGTCTAAAGAAGTTTTACTTCAAAATTTTTATATTGTATCTTTTATGGCATGTGGGGTATCATTTGAAAGGTCTCGTCGAGTAGAAAACGATTTTCATAAAAAATGATAATATTGTAATAAAAAAGTTATATATATAACAGGATTTAATTGCAAAAAATATTAGATTTTTTAAGAAATTGAGATAAAACACTGTTGTAGTGAATACTAAAATTGACTATGTGATTTGTCCACACTTTTTACGAATTCGTACTTAGGTGCCTAAAGAAGTTTTACTTCAAAATTTCAAAAAATTTAGATTGGATCTTTTATGACATGTGGGGTATCGTTTGAAAGGTCTCAACGAGTAGAAAAAGAGAAAACATTTATATACTGATATACTTCATAATCGACATCTATGCAATTTTTTTATTGCTAGTGTTAGTGAAATTATTCAAGTTTGTTATAAGTTCACTATGTGAACGAATATTATAGAATTTATTAATCAGCAATTACTTCATTTCTCTAATGAAGGTTCATTTCTAAATGATAATTACAATGATAATTACAATGATATTTGAAGTATGACTTCAATTACATTATTGTTTTTAAATATCATATATATTTTTAATGCTATTCAAATATATAATTTATAATTTATCATTATATAAATGTTTATAATGTTTGATGCACTAATAAATGTGTGCATCACGAGTGTTTCCATAATACTAATAAACATGAATTAAAATTGTTATGCAATGTATTTATTTTTAACTTGAATGCCTTCTCATACAATAGCAAAACAGTTCTACTTCAAACGCGTGTGAACCTTATGCACACTCTTTTTTTTTAAGTATGATTATTACTTATGTATTATTATGATTGTAAGACACTTACTCTCTCCGTTTCACCTCCGTCAACTCCTTAGCTGCCAAATGTTTACCATCGAACACCAATATAGGTTTAATTTGATAAGAGATCAGTAAATTAATATACTTAAGACAATATTGTATGTGCCTGTAAATATATAAAAAACATTAAATACCACATTATACCCAAACAATGTATATTTCATTTATAAACTAACAAGTCTGTATCAATCCCCTGGGCTAATTTATCAGCACAACCAAAAGCTCCTTTATGAAGCCAACAATAACTATCTATTGCAACTGTGCAGCCCCTAAATTCACTTAAATGAGACTTCTTAGAAGCCTTTTCTAGGAAAGGTAATAAACCTGTTATACCCATCACTAATATTATTTTTTAATTAAATTATATATATGTAATATCATTCTTTGTATTAAACTCAGGTACTTTGTTGTAATGTTTATATTTTTTATTTTATTAAATGCTTTTAAACGACAGTTGTCATTGAGGTTGTTTGTTTTGACGTTTTGGGCAAAAACCGCCAAAGAAAGCGGTGTGAAGTTGGTTGGGTATTAAGTGTCATAGAGGTTGTCAAAAAATTAGCAGAAAATTGTAATGGACTTATTCATAATTATACTTATTTATCTATGTTTATAATAATCTTTAATATCTAGAATATACGTTCTAATAAATATATTAGCGATTTTGAATATTTGCGCCAGAGCAGAGCTAAATATTATTTAGACTTCGTTCTATTTGTAACCAACTTCATGTGGTCGCCATGTTTGTTAAATTTGAAATGTTTGTAAATATAGAGCAAAATGCTTATTTATATACTATTAAATAATTTAGTAAAGTAAATCAAAATGCGAGATGCATAAAATTAAAAAAATAATGTATATGCAATTTTGAGTAGTTATTGCGTTACTTATTAAACTGAATTATATAATTCATCTGCCAAAACACATACTATGTTGACTGGCTGCTTTTTGCCAATAATAATGTAGACATTACATTCATCTTGTATATCATATTCCAACATTATCTTGGCTCATAGATTCAGCTAAATTCAAATTTCAAGTGAATTGACATTTCTAGTTCAAATATTTTCAATGTCAAACAATGATAGGTAGTTTTTTGTAATTTTTGAAGTAAAACTTCTTTAGGCGCGATATGGGTGTAAAAATTTCTTTAGGCTACACGGGTGTAAATCCGTACAAATGCAACGAAACGCCAACGTGTAGTTGAACACTACGACGCCGTAAGCGCTGATGTCGCGAGTATCCACTCCCGTCATGTCATGCGTAAGTCGAGCGCTAAACCCTGTATGAACTTGCATTAATTGAATCACGTTTTTTATGTTATGTCCTCATGGAATAAGACTTTTCTTAGAGAATAAATGTGTCATGGAATATAATAAATTTATACTGAATCTCGTTGAAGACAAAATAATATCTACTGCCACGGATATTTATGTAGGTTGCCATGCGACAGATCAACAATCATACATTCGTCAGCAGTTTCACAAAAATCGGTTATTGATACCGGGGGTTTGCCGTATGAAATAATTTTAGTTCTGAATAATTTTAGTTCTGAATAAATTTTACATAATAACTAATATTGATGTAAGTGATGGCTTAGCTAATGGTTGTGTAGGAAAATTAGTGTACATAGAACGTGGCGATAATGATGAACTTCTACGTTTATGGTTTGAATTTCCTGGTAAGATAAGTAACAAAATTAGGAAGAAAGCTGCACATCATATTCAAACTCTTAATATCAGTAGGGCAGCTGTGCCGATTCTCAGGAGATCTTCATCTATTCCAATGAATAGAAATAAAATCATATTTGCCAAAAGAAATCATTTTCCTTTAGTGTCTGCTTGTGCACTCACAATACACAAATCACAAGGTGGTACTTTTGATGAAATTGTATATGAATACAATAAAACACATAATCAACAGCTTCTATATGTTGCATTATCACGAGTTACCAGCATTAATGGATTGTTCATCATTTCAAAAAATTTTATCATGGAAGAAAACGGCCAGCAGGATTAATGAACTTAAAAACTGAATTCCAAAGACTTTCAACTTGTAGATTAATAACACAAGAAGAAAAATTGAGTGAGATAATAAGTTTGAACGACATTTCATTGTTTTCCTTTAACTGCCAAAGTTTACGAGCTCATTTGCCTGATCTGCATTTGCCTGATCTACAACGTTGTACGTTTTTGTTATTTTCGGAAACTTGGATTAATAATGAAGAACGAATTGATATTCAGAACTATTACTGCGTTACTCAATACAAACGATCGGACTCAAGAGCAGGTGGTGTAGCTGTCTAATGTCCATCATTCATGTTCAGATACTGTTCATAATGCCACTCCTATGCAGTTTCTTGCGCCAACGATATTACTGGATATTCCTAATGAAATTACACAAGTAGGTGATATTACACACACAGAATCAAACATTAATTATAGTCGTCCTTTAAATTTCTCCCAATAAAAACATATCAAATATCATTAAATTTCTTCATCGGCAGTTACTTCATTTGTCTAATGAGGGTGCAAAACTTTCAAACACTAATCACAACGAGATACCATTAATTCTTGCTGGAGATTTCAATGTCAATTTTCCCTATCTCAACCATTAATTGATTTTTTAAATAATAAATTTAATTTAACAATGAATAATTCTCCATTTGAATCAACCACAAGATATGGCACGACTATTGATGCAGTTTTCTCCAGAAATGTACATAGTTTACAAAGCAAAATTTATGTCTCTCATTTTAGTTATCACAAACCTATTATATCATATATAAAATATGATAGCAATTAATCTATCGATGTTGTTTTAAACTGTGTTATTGATGTTATGTGATTATTAATAAATGATTTTTAAAATTCAAATATGATGTTTTTTTTTATTTTTATCTTAATTGCCTACTCATACAATATTAAAAGTTTTACTTCAATCGCGTGTGATCCTTACGCGCACTCTTTTTGCTATTTATTTCTACAATATTACTATAGTTTTATCGTTCATCAAATCTTAAACATTTTCTTTGACACACTCTAAAAAGAATTATCAAAATTCGAATAACCGTTTAGGAGAAGTATCAAATCTACACCCGTACAGAAGAATTTTATATATAAGATATAATGAATCTAAACTTTATTTTAAATTTAAAATTATATAAATTTCTATATGTCACATTTAATAAACAGTGTATTAAAAATAGTACAAGTTTTTAAATATTCTTCCTGCTCACAATTATATTAATAATGATAAGGTTTCAGTTAGCTTTCAAATTTTTAATTTCAATAAATTTTTTCCCTTAATAAATAAGATTTATTTACGGGACATATTATTAATTTAAATCGTTCTTTTAATATTTAAAATTTTATTATTTTGCATAAAGACAAAATATCGTGATCTTTAAAAATTTGCTGAATCTGTTTTTATCAAGTTTAAGTCCTCTGTAATGTGAATAAACAATAATCTGTATTTTTGGGAATAGATAGTTAACATAATAATCTCAGTTTTTCTAAAATTTCTTTAAATTTTATTTTTTTTATATTATTTATATTGTTGTATTTTTGTTTATTTTACCCATTTTTTATCACTTATTATCACCAACCAGCTGACGTTTCTCAAAATTGGATCCTGAATCTACATTTGTAAACCCCCTAGTTTTTATATTTTATTAACTTCCCTTAGGGTAAGTTATTTCTAGTTTATTATTATTTTTTTATTAAAACAATGTCTTTACTAAAATTTTGTATAGTGTTTTTTTTTTGGTTTTGTATGAATTGATATTTCTATTTATATTACCATCTAGTAATTTAGTAATTTTTTTAAACTTTGCAAAATACTTTTAAAGAATTTTTAAAACCTGCTGAACGATGACACACATAAAGTTTCAAATACATAAATAGTTTGATGTGATGATGATAAAATAAATAAAGAAATGCAGTAAAAATTCATAAGGTTGAGTTACTTAAAACTTCCAACAAAATATCGGAATAAATCTTAAATTGTAATAATGATAACAATATTTTCTCAATAGAATAAGTAAATAATAATTTAATTTACTAATTTCTTAATTATTTTTAGTCAAACTAAAGACTTGGACATTATTATAAAGACAGGATTTGAGTTCATCACCTATCAATTTAAATTTCAGTCAGAAACAATTATTCCTTTTGAATTTGAATTCAAATAGTTGACAGTTTTCACTTCCAGTCAGACATTCCCATCTATGCAAAGCGTTTTGGTCTTTATGGTCTGTATCGCACTTCATGTGCATAAATTTACGAACAGAAGAACTTTTGACACCTACAACTAACTGTCATAATTTTACTGCAATAATTTAGCGATATTAATGATACAATATTATAGTTTTAAGGTAAGAACCTGTCCCAAAACCCTCCAAAAACCCTTCTTTACTTGTATCATATAAAAAAAATCCATACCATACCTAAAAATAATTTTATTCCCATTCCCCACGCGATGTTTATTTATATGGTCTTATTTGGTGCATTATTTTGTGTCAAGGTAAATTACAACAAATAAAATCTTTGTTGCAGAAATATGAGCTCCTCCTCGAAGAGATCATGGAAGCTACGTGAGTAGATAAAAATAACCTAAATAATAAAATATTATTATATATATTCATGTGTCTTATTTTTCCTTTTTAGAAGATTTTGTTGCACATCAATCCAATGTAAATTGTGCTGCTTTAGGCCATCAGACTGGCCGAGTAATGGTCACTGGTGGCAAAGATAGCAAAGTTAACCTGTGGGCCCTTGGGAAGGACACGTGTATTATGGTAATAATAAATCGACAATCATTGTTGTTTATGTTCAAATTTAAATGGTATTAAAAGTTTTATATAATGAGGAAGACACTGTTTGGTAGTGACAGAAGTCATAACAGATAAACTATACTGGTTTTGATATATAGTCCAAAGGTAGAAAGATGTAGTATGTTTGTTTAAACAAGTTTACATAATTGCTTTCAGTCAAGTCTGTTTTGTTTTTGTGATAAGTTGAGCGTTAGTATATATATCTTATATATAAAAATGGAGCTCTTTTTCAAATGTCCAAGTAAAACTCGAAAACGGCTAAACCGATTTGGCCAGTCTTAGTCTTGAAAAATTTGTGCCAATCCAGAGAAGGTCGGAATGTGAGATAATATTTCAAAATTGCGTAGAAACTTCACATTTTTAATTTGAATTTTTTTGTAGAAGCGTAATTTAAATGAAACAATGGACGGTGGCTAATACGTGAAATGTCAAACGTTTTTGACAGATGATGTTCAATTACATTTAATAGGATGTTTTACGCGAATATTATTTATTTATGATAAATT